AATCAATACACAGATATGCCCCATATTCTGACCTTTTGTGTGTTGAAGGATTCTATCAAATACTGGCAGGGAAGAGACCACAGATAATATTGGGGAAAAGACGAAATCATAATTGATACTAAGAAAGTAGCTCACTGGAAACCCCGCTGGGTCTCATCCTTAGGAGTGTCGCCTCAGTTTTCTAGAATCTTCTTTAGCTTCCAGGGCTTGTGCTGCTGGCACAGCTGCACGAGGCCCTGGGAAGCTCCGGGAGCGAGGACTGATTGACTCCTCCCCGTCTCCCCAAGAATCAAGGGACAGAAATTGAACTCCCTATGCAAAGGCCAAAGGGAGACAAGACAACATGACAGAGCACCTGCAGTGCGGTCGCCGTAGGGACGCAAGGCAGTAGGGGCGGGGCAGGTCCTGGCTGTGATTCGAGTTCTCTTGAGAGACGGATGGTTCTGGATGGCTGGTGCTACCATCCCATGCCGCCACCCTGGGAGCTAGTGAGTGTCCCAGCAGCGGGACCCACAGGTATAAGCAAAGCGAAGGAGATCTGACACCAGGAGCCTTGGCGGACGCCTGAGGAAGGCTGGGAGGTTGCCTCCCACACCCTGAAGGACCAGTCACTCAGAGCCGCCGGCCAGGGGCTGCCAGGCAGCTTCCAAGGCCAAGTGTCAGCCTCTGTCCTCGGGGGCTGTGCCATCTGGCAGGGGTGAGTAAGCGGGCCCCTTCCTCACAAGCTGGCACCACACAGACCCCTGCAGTTGTAAGAAAAACTCAGGACGGGGGATCCTGGTGCATGAGCCGACTGATGGAAATATTCACAGGAAATGCACCTACCACCAAACTAGCAAATCGGCATGGGCCAGCGAGGAGGGCGCGGCGGTGGCCACCAGGTGCCCCGAGGTCTCACCACGAGACAGGCAACCCCACCGCTGCCCAGGGCAGCTCTAGCTGGAAGCCACAGTCAGCTCCATGGACTTGACCTTGGTCCGGCTGTGGGACTCCAGCCCAACTTGGACCAAGTTTGCACTCTGGACAAGCAGCCCAGGAAGATGGCGTCACGGGGGCTCCCCGCTTCATTCTCGGCCAGTCGGGCCCCTCCGCCTCTTTCGAGAAACGCATACCTGCCATGGAAGTTCTCGGGGTGTCGGGGGCATTGTCCAGAACTCTGCCGCCTCGTGGGTTTCATTTCTGCGCCTGGGTGGGGGTCTCCCTCGTCTCTTTCCTAACAGCGCAGGCTTGCCTTGGCTCATTGCTTCTAGATGGACCCTGCTGGAACGCTGTCCGGCTCAGGGTGTGCCAGAGAACTTGCTCCAGGGCTTCTTTGGCATTCCGTCGATGTTGTCGATGCTTGCATTTGTCGATGGTGATTTGCTCAAGTTCTCACCTCGGCGGACCTCGTCTTGCAGATCGTCCTCATGCTGTCTGTCTAACTGCCTTTTTTTCTGCATGTAATCCCCTTTGTTCCCTGATGAAAGATGTGATTTTGCTCCGAGTGCGGCGAACAGCTGTCACTCACTTCGCTCTGTGAGTTTTTACATGCAGTTGCTCATTGTAGTGATTTTCCAAGCACTCTATAATTGCGGCTTCATTTTCTCCCTGACTCGGTAATTATTTTTTAATGTTGTTTAAATCATGAAACGTATGGGTTTAAATCCTCCGTGGTCAGAAATGCACCATTCCTATGTTTTCACATTTATGGATGTTTTCTCTGCAAATCTATATTAAGTCAATTTTTGTAAATGTTCATGAACATTTGAAAATAATGTCTATTCCCTGCAGGCAAGGAATTTGTCTGTTCAACTTAGCAATTACATGAACGTACTTCAAAAAGTTCATGGGCAAGTGGAATTAAAAGATAAATTTATTTTGATGAAAGAGATTTTGAAAAACATGCATAATTCCTTCATAGAAAGAGGGTCTTCTGGAAAATGTGTATTATGAGAAATCTACACGTGGGCACCAATACTTTCTACACTAAAATAAACGTCTCCTTTAATTCCACTTTCCCTGAGCTTTTTGAAGTTTTCTCATAGCCTTCAAATATTTTATGTCATTTGACTAGTACTGTCTTTAATTTCCAAACATAAAGACGAACCTATGCTTTTCTATCAATATTAAAATAGACAAGTTAAACATTATTTAAATGAAATATTGAATGGCATCCCTCAACTAACATAAAAATTATACTCTAATTTCCATCCACCTTTCCCACGATTGATTTTTTATTGGAATGAGATGGAATTTTAGATACAAGTTATTTTTTTGACAGGCAGAGTGGACAGTGAGAGAGAGAGAGAGACAGAGAGAAAGGTCTTCCTTTTTCCGTTGGTTCACCCCCCAAGTAGCCACTATGGCTGGTGCATTGCAGCTGGAGCGCTGTGCTGATCCGAAGCCAGGAGCCAGGTGCTTCCTCCTGGTCTCCCAGGCAGGTGAAGGGCCCAAGGATCTGGGCCATCCTCCACTGCACTCCCGGGCCACAGCAGAGAGCTGGACTGGAAGAGGAGCAACCAGGACCAGAACTGGGCGCCCCAATAGGAACTAGAACCCAGGGTGCCGGCGCCGCAGGCGGAAGATTAGCCTAGTGAGCTGTGGCACCGGCCAGAGACAAGTTATTACTACACAGCCTTGGTTATGTCAGCCTTATTGATGACTGTTTTACCGTCCACAATGTTTTATGCCTGCTATAATTACTTATGCAGATTATTGCTTCGTTGTTACCCTCTGCCTGTCGCTGTCTCCCTTAACATCTTCCCTTGGGTTGGTCTGTGGGTGACAGAGTTCCCTCTTCAGGCGATTTTTCTTGCTGCAGGGTGTGCAGGTGTCTCGCACGCACGGGGCGGGTGGTTCAGATCCGGAAGTGTCTGAAAGTCTCTCTGCTGCCCTCGGAATTGATCCTCCCCTGCAGAACCTCCCAGCCACTGCCACTCTGCCAGCCTTGGTGCTGCAGAGACCGCAAAGCCGGCCCGTGCACCTTGCTCCCTTCCCCTCTGCACAGCATCCATTGTTTTCTCTTTCTCTTGACATCCTTATTTTGAAACCAGAGATCCCCAAGACAAACGTAGCTGAGGGTCGCTCTCCATTAACAATGCCTTCTATTCGGTCAGTCCTTCTACCAGTCAGCTTGTTGTTCCTATAACAAAATGCCTAAGGCAGCGTAGCTTGATAGAGAAAAGGGGTTTTGGTTCATGGTTCAGGAGGCTCACAGCCCAAGATCTGGCGTCCCCAGCCTCTGATGACGCCACTCCTAATGGGAGAGCCCAGAGGTTGTACAGAGCATCTCCCGCGGTGTTCAATCGTGCGGGCCCCGCCCAATCTCATCAATTCTCCAAGGCCTCTCCTCTGAACACCATCATTGGACCAACTGTCTGCCCTCTTCGTACCACTGACATAAGACTCTACAGACTGCAAATCCCAAGTTTGGAGGGACAAATGTTGAGATCATAGGTGTCCTTGCAAGCAAGAAATGCAAAGTTTTCTTCAGCTCCAGGAACTTTTCTTCTATTTTTTGTCTTTATTATAATCATGTCTTCTATCCTCTTCTCTCGTCTTGAAACTCCTGTTCCAAGTATAATCCTTGTCCCAGTTCCCAGTTGCTTGAGCAGTCATATTCATCGCAAGGTGTTTTTTTTTTTTCTGTTTCTGGGGTAAGAAGGTTTCTCTCTCCTAGTTCCAGGAAGCTTGAAAGTATCTGAGGCAGGCTGTGGACAGGACACAGCCTTCTCCTCCCAGAGGACCGAGTTCTCAGGAGCTCTGTAGTCATCCTCCCCCTGCAGAGGGAGGAGCAGGCTACAGCCTTCCTGGGGAGGAGTCCAGGATGGGAAAGATCAGGGAGACCCAGGGGCGAGGGGCCAGTGCAGCGTAGGTGGGGTGAACGGACCCAGAAGGAGCTCCAGGGCCTGGCGTACACCCAGGGTCCCTGAGCCCTTGCACAGGGCTTGGGGACAAGCACTGCTGACAAGCAGAGGGGAGCCCCAGGCAAGCTGAATCCAGCAGAAGCAAGTCCCAGCATGGGGCCATCAAAGCTGGCGAAACTGGGAGCTGGCAAGCAGGCTCAGAGCAGGCCAGGGGGGACCTGAAGCTGGGAGTGACCGGGTCCTTCCGCTGTTGCTCCGTCCCTGTGCCAACGGGGACAAGCTGTGGGCGAGAGAAGACAATTTCCCCATGAGTCAGGTGGAAACCCTTCAAGACAGGCATCAGCGGCCCCATTCTATAGTCGAGGAGGTTGAGGCTTGGTAGAGGCCAGTTCTTCACCAGTGCACCCGAGATTTGAACCCCTGACCGTGTGTGTGCCTCCTGTGGGTTTTCCCAAGATAGCACATGGCGTTTCACGGCAGGCGATGTTATCTTGCATTTTCTTACTGCTCTTTCTGTTTTTTAAAGATTTAATTTATTTTTTGAAAGGGGGAGAGAGAGAGAGAGAGAGAGAATCTGGTACTTCAGTGATTCCGCTAGGGATCAAAGTTCGCCAAGGCTGCCCCAAGTTTCGCTCCAGGGACGAGCCACAGCCTCCCTCTTCTCTCACGGCCTCCACGGATGGTTTCGATGTGACTTCTCTCCGTGCTGCCCTTGCCACCACCAGGGCTGGACTGCACGCCCAGGTAGACCAGCAGGTCGGGAAGAGAGGGCTGGACAGCTCCTGTGTCACCGTGGTCCCCGCCTCAGTCCTCGGTGCTACAGCCTCAAGGAGACCACTGACTGCATGCTATCTGTATCTTTGTGCGCCATCTTTCTCTGCCGGCCGGCTCTGTGTGACAGAATCCACGCTCAGAACCTGGGCACAGTGCTTCCACGCTCACTTTGGTTTTTGTCTGACAGCAGGAGGGAGTCGCGTTTCACTGGTAGCAGACGCCATGCATCACCTGTGGCTGCAAGAATCCAGAGAACTCTAAAAGCCCACTAAGCCTCTCTCTGTGTTCTTTTCCTTCTGTTCCTATAACAAATCCCCGCACACTTGTGTTCACCCCATTTCAGGAGATCAGGGGTTCACAGCGCATCCCAAGGAGCCGAGATCAAGGTGTGCTACAGTCCAGGCTGCTGCCCTCCGCGGCTCCAGGGTGAGAATCCGTTCCTGGCTTCTTCCACTTCTAGAGGCTGCCGGCATTTCTGGGCTCCTGGCCACACCCCTCACGTTGCCTTCTCCCGTGCTGTGGTCAAAAACCTCTCCGTCTCATTCTCATGAGATCACATTTCACAGGATGCTATTTAGTGCTGCCAAGGTAACCCAGGACAGTCTCCCCATTGCAAGATCCTTGAGTTAATCATATCTGCACCGGCCCTTTGGTGGCACAAAACCACGTCCTTGGGTTCCAGCGCTGAACTGGGGACTGATAGGAAGGGGCCAGTTGTTCAGCCACTCCTTGCCACTCCCAAGAGATTCGGGTCTGTCCTGCACACGCACAGTCCCTTCCAACGTCGCCCAAAGTCTTAACATCCAAATTCTGAGTCATCCGGACCAGGTGTGGATGAGACTCTGGGAATGAGTCACTGGAGAGGTCACCCTGGAGAAATCCATTCCCACGTGTCGCCCTGGAAACAACGCACCTGCTCCAGAAACGCACAGGTGGTATGGGCCTGGGATGGCAGTGCACGCCGTCCTGCCTGAAGACAGACAATGCAAGGAAGAAAGGGGTCAGCAGTCCCAGGAAATTTCAAAGTCCAGCCAGACAAGCTCGATTCGTCCTCGAAGCCCCGGAAGAACCCTCCGGGGGCCCAGGCTCCACCTCCTGTGCCCCCGGCTCTGCCCTCGGAGTTGAAGGGCAGCCAGAACTTGTCGCTGATGGGCTTCATCAGCATGTTTTATGCCTGTAAAATGCTGGGAGTCCGACAGCCTCCCACGGACAGGCCTGCTAATTGTTCTGATAGAGGAGAGAGGCTGCCTGGTGCAGCCCCGCGGGTCGGTGTGACCGCGACACTGGGTGGCTCCTCTGTCCTGCGCCAACACCATCCACTTAACCCGTGTGTCAGCAGGGAGGTGGCTACAACGACACGGCACCCTTCCTAATGGCTGCACTTCTAATTTTAGAACCGGCTGATTGTTGCATGCGTCAGCTCTGATGCTAGCCACTCCAGCGAGGCCCCGGGGCGCTGCAGCCGCTGTCTGTCCCCACCGCGGTGAGCGGCTTTGCTGTCTCTTCCCCTTCATCTCCCTACTGTGAAGGCCTGGAAGGAAGCAGTGAACAACCACCAGTCCTCATCTTTGTGACGCTCACTGGGAACCTGCCTAACAGGTGTGGGCCAGGTGAGCCTGCCTAACAGTCGTTGGCCAAGGTAGTAGTACTGGGTAGTGCTGGTGCCCCCGGGATCTTACTGCTGTGGCTTGAATCGTGACCTCACCTTCAAAATTCCTCTGTTGAAGCCCCATTCTACAGTGTGACCATATCAGGAGATAGGGCTTCTAGGTTACACGAGGCCATCATGGTGGGTCCCAACCCAATAGAGTTGGTGGCTTTAGAAGATGGCGCCCACACCAGGGAAAGGCGGGAAAGGACACAGCCAGAAGGCAGCCATCTCCAAGCCAGGATGAGACCCTCGCAAGCAATTAACCCAGCCCGCCCTTGTGCTGGGAGTTACAGCCTCCAGGACTACAGGGAAATAAATGGGCATTGTTGAAGCGCCCCAGTCTGTGGGACTTTGTTGCAGCAGCTCAAGCAGATGGGTACAGAAATAAAGAAAAATGCTGGCTGGTGTGTGGCACAGCAGGTCAAGCCACCGCTGGGGACACCCACGTCCCATAGCACAGTACCTGCTTTGAATCCCAGCTGCTCCGCTTCTGATCCAGCTCCCTGCTAATGGGCCTGGGAAGCAGGAGATGATGGTTCGAGTACTTGAGTTCCTGTCACCCATATGGGAGTCTCAGATGGACTCCTGGATTCAGCCTGGCCCAGCCCTGGCTGCTGTGGTCATTTGGGGAATGAACCAGAGAATGGTAGATATGTTTGTCTGTCTTTCTTTTTCTTTTTCTTTTTCTTTTTCTCTTTCTTTCTTTCTTTCTTTCTTTCTTTCTTTCTTTCTTTCTTTCTTTCTTTCTTTCTTTCCTTCCTTCCTTCCTTCCTTCCTTCCTTCCTTCCTTCCTTCCTTCCTCCCTTCCTTTCTCTCTCTCTCTCTAACTATGCAAAAGTAAATGAAAAAAATTTTTTTAAAAAGAAGAATGCTGTGGCACAGAAGGTGTGGACTCGCTCAGAGGTTGGGTGACCTTGGCCTTGACCCATCTTCCAAGCACATCACCAGCCTCCACAGACCACAGAGCTCTCAGTGTTTGGTTGTCTCGTTACATAAGTGCCCGAGGAAAGCCAAGTGACACGGCAGAAACGGAGGCAAGATGTGGAACCAAGAAAGCAAATCCTTGTCTTCCAAGGCCAAGTTTGCTGGCTGAGGGAGGAAAGAAAACTGTGGACCGGGCAGCACCTTCGGGTCCATCCTGGCTTGAACCAGCAGAGAGCAGCTGGCCAGGGTTTTACTCCACAGAGGGGAGACACACTGAGTGAGCGCCGGTACTCACCGGCAGTAATTCTGCTATCTGTACTTGAGACTGCACTTCAATGCACCTGCCAGATGGTGCTCAGCCTCACAGCCACCTTGCCCCCAGAGAATAAAGACCAACAGATAGAGAGACAGCGAGCAGGTGGACCCAAGGAGATTCGTGGCTGACCTGCCGGACTCGTCGTGCTGGGGCTGCCAGATGATCGGGAACCAAATTCCCACAATGAAGCCAAAAAGCTGAGGGTCTTTTTTTGTTTGTTTGTTTCTTCTTATTTGCTTCCAGCAGGTTTCAAATCTAATGTTTTCTTAATTGAGTTTGAGTTTGATAAATTGTGACACACATGCTTTCATATATATATATATATTAAGTTGTCTTTTTTTTTTTTTTTTGGAAGCATCATGTTGCCCAAATTGGCATTTTAGTGTGACCCAAGCTGTGCCAAGCTCAGGCTCACCCAAGAAAAAGTTGCAAAAGACAGAGGATGCGGTGAGATCTTCAAATGGCCGAGCCCCGGAGAGCAGCCCAGTCCCAGCCTTGTGTATCTCCACCTCCTTTGAATCGTGACTGTCTTATTTCTTGTTTTCCTCCAAAACCCAGAATCCTTGTTTCTCGTTCCTGTAATCGGAGACGTCCTGTGTCCCCTGGCTTCTCCACAGCAGTTGGCAGGGCTCTGTTCCACTTGAGTCCGCTACCATCCAACCCCCGAATCCTCACGCTTCCCCAAGGACGCTGAGTCAGCCGGGTCGGAACCCCTGCATCCAAAACGAATCCACTGCCAGCCACCCCCAGGAGGTGGCAGATGGAGCTCTTGGCTTGCGCAGGCTCCGTGCTGAAAGACAGCACGGTTTTGTGGGGGCCAGCAGAGTCGGCCTCTGAGAAGGGCCACAGCCCAGCTCCTGGGGAGCTACCGCTGAGTTCACGGCCGCCTTCCCTCCTTAGTGTCACGTGCTCGGATCTGGATGGGACTTGTGCCCGCCTGGTGATTAAGGTTAATAACCACACTCCATCTGGAGGGCCTAAATGCAAATCTGTTCTTTGGAGTTCATGCTTGGCATTCATCCCAGCCAGGAGGATGTGCAAGACACTGATAACGCTCCCCTGGGATGATGGTGCTAGGTTAGAGGGCCCGGTCTCTGTCCCAGGCAAGACAGGGAGAGGTCTGGCCCATGCAATCAGTACAGGGGAGCTGATGTTCACGGAAGGTCGGCCTACGTCTGGGATTTCAGAACCAGTGTGAGAGGCCAGACTGAGCCCTGCTGTGAAACCCAGACGGCTTCCTCCCGCCCTGAGCAGCACTCGGTGATGGTGTGGGGTCGGTGCTGCCAAGCCCCAGGCCCAGGTGTGGGCTTAGGAATGCAGGTGCCGTGGTTTCAATGGGATTTGGCCCCCAAACTCATGTAGATGCTTGAACCCCAAAGTCGTAAGTCAGTGGTACTAACATGGCAGACACTTGGGGCTGGAGCTCTGGCACAGTAGGTCAAGCATCCACCTGCAGTGCTGGCATCTCATAGAGACACTGGTTCTAGTCCCAGCTGCTCCACTTCCAATCCAGCTCCCTGCTGATGGCCTGGGAAAGCAGTAGAAGATGGCCCACGTGCTTGGGCCCCTGCACCCAGTTGGGGGACCCAGAGGAGGCTCCTGGTTCCTGGCTTCAAATTGTTGCAGCCATCTGGGGAGTGACCCAGCTGATGGAAGACCTCTCTCTCCCTGTCTCTCCCTCTCTTTGTCTGTAACACTGCCTCCCTCTTGAGTAAATAAATACACCTTAAAGAAAAGATGGCAGACACTTACTCCAGTTGGGGTATTGAGGAGGTGGGAGGTCCTTGGGGCGCAGGGACCCTTCCCTGGGAAGGCAGCTCCCAGGAGAGGGTTGGTTATAAAGCAACCTTGGAGCCCAGCTCCTCTGTCTGCTTCCCGGCTCGCCATAGGAGCACCTTCCACACTGCACCCTTGCTGCCCTCATCAGAAGTCAAATCAGGGGGCCACTTGGTCTTGGACCGGAACCTCCAGAGCCCTGAGCCAAAGAAATCTTTTCTTCCTAGGCAGCTGCTCAGAGGCACACCGCTATAGTGATGGAACCTCACTAACGCAGTGGGCTAGCTCCGAATTCAGCTGTGACAGCTGTGAGCAAATCCTCCCTCTCCCAACCCTCCAGGCTCCTCCTCTGTGAGGCAGACGGAGGTGGGCTGGACCTGTTTCCCAAGCATGGTGCAAGGAAGCCCAGGGGTGCCGTGGACACCCAGTGTGGGCAACGTGCCCCATATTCACGGCTGTGGCACTGCCGGAGCGGGGAGGTGAACGGTTCTGAGAGTTAGGGGTTACAGTGAGGATCCATTTCTTACAAAAAGAAGAAGGAGAAGGAAGAAGGAAGAAGAATAATGGGAGGGGGAGGGGAAAGGAGGGGGCAGGAGGAAGGGAGAGGGGGAGGGGCAGGAGGAGGAGGAGGAGGAAGAGGAAGAGGAAGAGGAAGAGGAAGAAGAAGAAGAAGAAGAAGAAGAAGAAGAAGAAGAAGAAGAAGAAGAAGAAGAAGAAGAAGGGGGCAGGATGATTAGGCAATAATTGCAAATTCTGTGTGATGGATATGCACATTTTTTATACTTTTCTTATATTCTTTTTTTTTTTAAAAAAAAGACATTTATTTATTTGAAAGTCAGAGTTACACACAAAGAGAAGGAGAGGCAGAGAGAGAGAGAGAGAGAGAGAGAGAGAGAGGTCTTCCATCTGCTGGTTCACTCTCCAATTAGCCGCAAGGACCAGAGCTCTGCTGATCCGAAGCCAGGAGCCAGGAGCCTCCCCTGGGTCCCCCAAGCAGAAGCAGGAGCCCAAGCACTTGGTCCATCCTCCACTGCTATCCCAGGCTATAGCAGAGAGTGGGATCGCAAGTGGAGCAACCGGGACTTGAACTGGTGCCCATATGTGATGTCGGCACTGCAGGTGGCAGCTTTACCCACTACGTCACAGCACCAGCCTCTACTTATGCTCTTTTATCTCAAACAATAAGACCGATCAGGAGCAAGTCTGGATCTAGCAATGAGCAGAGCAGCAGTCCTGACCCAGCACTCGTGCTCGTGGGAACGTCCAGTTTCTGAGTAGTTTACGTAATGATTGCCCTTAACTTACTTTTCATGTGTGCGTGTGTATGTGGGTACTTGTGTGTTTCCTTTTACCTGCCCCAGCGTGTTCCATGACACATGGCAACTTTAGCCTTTCCATCATTGGCAGAAATTAATCTTGCTCCCAGGTTCCCACTGTTACAACAATGTTGCAGTGAACATCTTTCAAAAATCCCAGGGCAAAGGAGCAGCAGAACTTTTTTTTAGATTGTAGTGATTCTTAGAAGATAGAGTCGCACATGGGAACCCACTGCCTGGCACTTGTGAGCTATGAAAACTACATTTCCTGCAAGACTCAGCTTGAACTCCTCCCTCAGTATTTGTCTTGCACACCGTGCGTTCCTCCACTAGAGCAAGCATCAAACTCTGCTGTGAATGTTTGCTGGATTCTCCACGCTACTGTTTACCTTGCTGGAATTCAGGGATGCGTTTATCTTCCAGACTATACTTGCTGCACAGTGAAGACTGGATAAGCACATCTGGTTTACCAAAGGAATCAGTCGAGGGAGGGGTTATGGTGTATTAAAGGAAAACCAGCTGGTTGGAGTAATAGATCACCAAGAAGCAGACGCTGACCAAAAGAGCTAAATATTTTTCCCACTTCTGTTATAATTACAGAGGATGTCAGTGGTCAACATTTTTATTCATTTGCAGCAGCAAAACTTTAGCCAGACACCTATTTCTCCATCCCGAAGGCTGTAGCTATTGGCTAACAGCCAGTGCTGTCAAGTTCCATGCTTTTGTAAACCACAGTGCAGAATCAAACACCAATTGCCAAGAATTCCTAAATAATACCCCCACAGACACACACACATACACACACAGTTCAGGGGTCTTGAAACACTGCAGGGAAGATCTAGAACTGGAGATCTGCCGAGGAGCAGCTAGAAAAACACCCCATCATCATGTCAGAGCTCTGGATGTCAGCACCTCAGAACATTGAGCAATCAGAGCTACACACTAGGTTTGGTCCCAGATGTGAACCCCACGCCCACTGAGATGTCTGCCTGCTCTCCCACTGGGAACCCTCTCTGCAGCCATGTAGCATCATCCAAGGCAATAGCCCACATCAATGTCCAGGAGCCCACTGAAATTTTATCAGATGTATCACAAAACTGAGCCAAAAGAGGAAACAGACACTACAAGCAGACCCACAGATGTCCAGGTGTTGGAGTTATCGGATGTGATAAGTATGTTCAAGAAAGTAGGTAACAGGTGGAAAATTTCACTGGGAAGTTAAGAATTGTTCTCGAGAGTCAAATGGAACTCCGAAGATTCAAAAGTATGGCTGATATGAAGTTTGAAGAGAAAGGTTTCACAGCGGTTAGACACAGCAGAAGGGAAGCTTAATAAACTGGAAGTTAGCTCAATAGAAAATATTCAGACTAATGAAAAAACATTCAGAAAAAAAGCATAACTAACAAAATGTGACATAGTGAAAAAGTGCCAAGTGTACCATAGAGAACGAGAATGGGACAGGGGGGAATATTTGAAGGAGAAAGGGCCAACAGTTTTCAAAAGCTTTCAAGACGTCAAGTGAGATTCCAGAAGTGGAACAAACACTAAGTAGGAAAATAAAGAGAAATTCACACCGCAACACATCCATAGTAAGACTGTTGAAAACCAAAGATGCAGAGAAAAACCTTAAAGCAGGCAGAGAAAAATGTGCTCTCACTTCAAAGGGCCGGCAGTAAGGCCGCAGGAAATATTACTCCCGTGAGCCTGCCTGAAGGATGTACTGGGCCATGCGCTGCAGCCACAAGGCCACAGTGCTCCCCTGTCCCGTTCCTCAGCTGTCCACTGACCCATTCTTATCTGCTGAACAGAGTAAGGGGCAGGCTTTGGGACACATCAAGCACTTCAGCACACACATCAATGAGTATAACTCAGTTTTCTTATATATTTTTAAAGATGAAATGTATAGGGAAATGCAAATATTAACTGCATCGTTTTTGAAATTTGACAAATGCATGCATTGTAACTCTGAGGGTAGCTTTAAGTTTTAATTAATGAAGGAAGTTAGACATCTTTCCATATGCCAACGACCCATTATGTTTCCTTTTCTGTGAATTCTATTAATTTCTCCTTTCCATTTTTCTACTAGATTTTTGGCCTCTCTCTTTGTTGGCCTTGGAAGCAGAGAACTGAGATAAATACACTCATTTTCTTCATTTGATTTTTATTTTATTTGTGTTTTTTCCTGAATCTCTGACTTCCACTTTTATTCCTCTTTTTCTCTTTCACTAATGAGTTCTAGTTAGTAGCAGTAGCTTTCTTATTTATCTTTGATCTTGAAAATGGACTTCAATTGAACAGTTTGTTAACAGCTATAGAATCTGGGTGTTGGATAGGCATGAATTCACGATACGATTCTTACAGCTTTTCCATGTGTTTGAAGATGTTCATTAAAAAAATGTGAAAGTGTTGTGCTATAGCCAATTAAGCCACTGCCTGTGATGCTAGTGTCTCCTATGCGGGATGGTTCAAGTCCTGGCTGCTCCACTTTCCATCCAGCTCCCTGCTAGTGTGACAGGGAAAGCAGCAGAAGATGGCCCAAGGTATAGGGCCCCTCCATCCACACGGCAGACCCAGAAGAAGTTCTTGGATCTTGGCTTCTGCCTGGCCCAGTCCTGACCATTGTGGCCATGGGGAGTGAACCAGTGGATGGAGGAGCTTCTCTCTCTCTCTGTGTCTTTCTATATAAATACAGTTACATAGATGTAGATATATAGATACATATCTGCCTCTTCCTTTCTCTTTTGTAACTCTGCCTCTCAAATAAATACAAAATTTCTCTGGGCAACATTTTCCCCCCAAAGTGATAAAAATTTAAAAAGTGATAACCTTAGTTTCAAAGTTGAAGGATAACTGATCCTCTCAACCTTGGCCAGCTCATATGGGTACAGCATCTCGAGAGAGTAATACAATTCAGAATTTATATGTATTTGTCCTTTAACACAGCAGTTCTACTTTAGATATCTATGGTATATGCATATGATGAAGGTAATACAGCTATTAAAAAGAAAGTGGGGGGGCCGACGCTGTGGCACAGTGGGGAAAGCCGCCGTCTGCAGTGCCGGCATCCCACGTGGGCATAGGTTCGAGTCCTGGCTGTTCCACTTCCGATCCAGCTCCCTGCTAATGGCCTGGGAAAGCAGTGGGAGATGGCCCAAGTGCTTGGGCTCCTGCACCCGCGTGAGAGACCTGGAAGAACCTCCTGATTCCTGGCTTTAGCCTGGCCCAGCTCTGGCCTTTGCGGCCAACTGGGGAGTGACCCAGCAGATGGGAGATCTCTCTGTTTGTCTCCTTCTCTCTATGTATATCACTGTGCCTTTCAAATAAATAAATCTTAAAAAAAAAAAATGGGGGCCAGTGCTGTGGCATAGCGGATAAAGCTGCCACGTGCAGTGCCGGCATCCCATATGGGCGCTGGTTCGAGTCCTGGCTGCTCCATTTCTGATCCAGCTCTCTGCTGTGGCCTGGGAAAGCAGTGGAAGATGGCCCAAGTCCTTGGGCCCCTGCACCAGTGTGGGAGACCCGGAAGAAGCTCCTGGCTCCTGGCTTGGATCAGCACAGCTCCGGCCATTGCAGCCAACTGGGGAGTGAACCAGCGGATGGAAGACCTCTCTGTCTATCTGTATCTGTCTGTCTCTCTCTGTCTCCCTCTCTCTGACTCTCCTTCTCTCTCTGTGTAACTCTGACTTTCAAATAAATAAATGTCTTTTGAAAAGTGACAAATTTCCATAACTGATATGCAAAATATCCACAGTCTATTAACCAGAAAATTCAATAAGTAGAATAAGCTTTGTAAGAGGCATGCTTTCACACGAAAACAAACACAAGGATGCCAGTGCTTTCGTCTGCGGTATAACACCTGCATGTGTAACGACCTAGCAACAGTGGTCGCTTCTGCAGATGACCTGCATTGCTGAGAAGCCTAGTTAGAAAACTGGTTTTCAGTTTTTCCTTTTTTGTGCTTTTTTGAGCTTTTCTTTTTTAAATTTTTTTTAATTTGGGAAGCAGAGTTACAGACAGAGAGAAAGAAAGAGACAGAGGTCTTCTGTCTACTGGTTCACTCCCCAAATGGCAACAACAGCCAGAGCTGCGCCGATCCAAAGCCAGGAGCCAGAAGCTTCTTCCGGGTCTCCCACGTGGGTGCAGGGTCCCAAGGACTTGGGCCATCTTCTACTGCTTTCCCAGGCCACAGCAGAGAGCTGGATCGGAAGTGGGGCAGCCGGGACTCGAACCAGTGCCCATATGGGATGCTGGTGCCACAGGCAGAGCCTACACCACAGCTCCACCCTGCCTTCACGTTACGACAGCTGTCCCCACCCTGAGCAATGTCCTCTGAGAGGCCCACCTGTCCCCTATGCACGACGTTGTTGACCAGAGCCTGGTGATGTGGTTCCCAACTGCGCTGTGTAAGCTGCACTTCCCTGAGGGACCGAGAGCCAGGTGCACAGGGCCAGAAAGGTGTAGCGGGCCCGGGCCGGGGGTGGCGCTGATGAACGGGGACAGAATGTATGTCTTGCAAGATGGAGCCTTCTGGAGAGGATTGGTGGTGATGACGTGAGCGTACTTACTGTGCCTGGATTATGCACCCAACACGGCTAAGACAGCACATTTTATGCAACGTCTGTTTTAACACCAGGCTTTAAAGTCTTTATATGGAAAAGAGAGACAGAAGGAGAAAGCTAGTATTGGACCACAGAGCATGGCTGCTGCCAGCCCCACACCGCTCCAGCAGCTGCCCGGGCCAGCACAGGCTGCGGCTGGCACTGGGAGTCCAGCAAGGTGACATCTGTCTCCTTCTGTTTCAGCTGCAGCCACCCCGCCCCTGGCTCCCCCTGGGATTTCTGGCAGCTCCTCCTGGCTTCTGAAACAGCCTGACCCAGGGTCCTGATGAAGTGGTGACCTCTCCAACCAGCAGGTCAGTGCCCCCTTGACGTCAGTGAGGACAGACCTGAGGTCTAACAGAGGGGAATGCGCCATTGTCGGGAGGCGGAGACCTCAGGAAGTCATGTCCTTGCTGCATACCTCAGTCTCCACATCTGTAAAATGGGCCTATCAATGCCTGGCTAACTGAAACTGTCACAGGGTTTAAATAATAAACCGAATGCATAGTGCACGGCTCAAGGGCTCTGCAAATTCCCAGGTGAGGATGAGGATGGTGGGTACATGAGGAGACAGCAGGAGCTGCCCTTCTTCCTGGAACTCTGTGTCCCCACAGCTGGGCCTGCAGGGAGCTGGCCCGCCTGTCCTCACCCACCGCAGCTCCTATCTGATTCCAGAATGTCCCGGCTCCCCGCCCAGGACCAGGCCTGGTGCTGGACTTTTGGCAGGCGTGATGGCATGTAACCCCCATACCCTGTGAAGCAGATGGCTCAGCTGTCCTCAGCAGGGAGAAAAAGCCCAGGCCCGGAGGACTCGGAGAGACACCCCAAGACAAGAGAGTGGTCTGCGGGCACTGCTCGCAGCCCCATGCAGCCCCTGACTTACCCAGGTCTGTGCTGCACGCTGGCGCCCAAACCGGACTCCCGGCCCGGCCTGCGGGAGCTGCTCCTCCCACCACACCTGCAGACCGCGTCCCTGGGCTCTGCAGAGCCCCTCAAGGGTCCCTGGGAGGCCCCCACGAAGGGAAGGAGGGGGCAGACCCTCCGTGCCTCCTGCCTGTGCACGCGGCAGCTCCTCTCCTGTCCATCCACCCGGTGGTACCTGGCGTTCAGTTTCACTGGAAGCGCAGCTTCTGTGGTTTTAAAAACTGCTCAGTGTCTGAGTCTTTCCCATCCTCCCGATACCCTCAGTCCACGGTGTGAGTGGAAAGTGCCATCCCAGCTCTCTTCCTCTAGGATTAGGGGTGCAGGCAGCTGCTGCAGGGGCCCCCCCACCGCCCAGGGGTCTACAAGGCTGGGGCTGTCACCCTGGGGGTCCCTGCCAGGGGTGCTGTGTCCCCTCCCCTGCCCCCTCTTGTGCATGGGGAAGGGGGGAAGGTGAGAAAGAGGAGAGGTTGCTGTCTCACACCCTCCCCAGGCAAGCAGCCATGAGCCTCCCCTCCCCACTGCGGGCTGTCTCTGCAGGGGTGGAAGATGGTACCAGCCACGCCCGAACCGGAGGAGGAGCCCGCAGTCCCTGCCCCGAGATGGAGGACGCCACACCCGAGCCCGTCTACGTGGACGTGGACAAGGGGCTGACCCTGGCCTGCTTCGTCTTCCTCTGCCTCTTCCTGGTCGTGATGATCATTCGCTGCGCCAAGGTCATCATGGACCCGTACAGCGCCATCCCCACATCCACGTGGGAGGAGCAACACCTCGACGACTGAGCGTGGGGGCGGCTGGGTGGGGACTGAGAGCCCAGCCCCCTGGGTAGCAGCGTCCCAGCATGCGACCCTGCGTGCCCTGTGGCCTCGCCCGCGCCCGGGTGCTGTGGGGGTCACAACCATGGAACAGCCTGGGGAGAAGCGTGGTGGGCTGGGACTCGGGGGTCCAGGGCTCCAGTCGGGGAGTCGCTGGGAGACTGTGGGAAGTCATCTTTCCAGGCCCCTGTGCACCTGCGGAACTGGGTCCTGAACAGATGCCCCCGTGCCTCTCACACCTGCAGAAGACCCCGCCCCTCAAATGCAAAATAGCACAGGGAATCTCCCAGCGAGCCCAGGCTCCTCCCCCTTAGGAACCAGCGGTGGAGCAGGCAGCAAAGCATGACAGGAGGCTGAGGGAGCCACACTGGGGGAAACTCACAAAAGGCACATGGCTGCCGCCAAGCAGCACTTTTTTTTTTAAACTAAAATACAGAGGGGTCTATTTTTCCTGTGAGAAGTGAAATGTACATTTTAGAAACTTGAGAAAATGCAGATCAGTGGATGAACAGAAATTACACTTATAATCCCACCTCCCCAAAGCCACCATTTTAATACATTTTCTTCCAGCTTTCTTTAAAAAAACACACACACACACATATGTATTTATTTATTTGCTCTAAAGACAGAGAGAGAGAGAATTCCCACTCACTGGTTTACGGCCCCAAGTTCCCACAACAGCTGGGGCTGGGCCAGGCTGAAGCCGGGAGCCAAGAACTCCATCCAGGTCTCCCACATGGGTGGCAGGGACCCAAGTCCTTGAGCCGTCACCTGCTGCCCCCCAGGGTGTGCATTCGCAGAGAGATGGAATGGGGAATGGAGTTGGGACTCGAACCCAGTCCCAAGAAGTGATGTCCAAGCCGCCACCCGGAACACCTGCCCCATTGCACCTGCACCGTGTGGTGGCATTCACACCGGACGCCCGATGTTGTACCAGACCCCAGGAGAGCACTGTTAGGTCCCCATTTCACCGCACAGTCATCTTTTGTGCCGACGGCAGACTGTTCCACCTTGTGCTTGCCCGTCACCTCCCTTGGTTGCACCGTGAATTTTTTCCGTGAACTTTTCCTCGGTCGACTTATTCCACCCGGTGACTCCTGCAAGGTGCATAGTCCATGAAGTACTTACTGGACCAGGAGACCAGGGTCCCAGTCCTGTGTGGCCCAACCTTGTCGCTCCACCTGCTGGTGCCTCGGTCCCCTCCCTCGAAGAAGGGGAGGAAGAGCCTTGCCACTTTAAATGTATTATTATTGCTAATTATTACATATACCTCACGGGCGTGGAAGGACAGGGGCATCGCTAAAAATGTCTCATTTCAGGGCCTCCCTGCTGCCTCCTCTTCCCACCCTTACACCCCACCCCCACCCCATCGCCGACATCTGTGACCCAGCAGCAAGAACACTGGGCCGGAGCCCACGCTCCTGGTCCCAAATATTCTGCTTCCACATTGTCTGACCCTGGGCAACTCCGTCTCTCTGAGCCCCGGGTTGTCTGTGCACGCACCTGACAAGGTTGTACAGATGAGAGCATACCGGCAAGCAAGCATCAGTACCCTTTCTCGAACCCCTCGTTCCCAGGAGAAGCCAGGGGGTTGCTCTGCGAGGAGTTAGAGGTTCTGGGTTCCCCCCTCCCAGGCTCTCCTCAACTCCACAGGGCCACTCCCTGCAGAACTGCTCCCCTAGCCAGAACCACTGGTCATCGCTTGCATCCCCGCCGCAGGTCCTTACCCCACCCCGGGTCACCTGGGAATCGGGTTTCCGAAGCACAGTCACAATAGGTGACCCCTGCAAGTGCACAAGGCCACGGCCATTCAGGCAACATTCCACAGTGACCCACTCTTCCCCCCAACACCGCGTGGGATGCACAAAGGGACGGCTGGGAGAGGCGGTGGACCGGGCAGTGGACTGGGAGAGGATGTAAAGCCAGAACCTCGCTCGGGGACTTGCAGCCCGGCTGCAGCCTTTGCTCAGAGGCCTGCTCTGTGGAAATCCCATCCGGAGGGACCTGCAAAGCACAGCAGAACCAGCTCCCAGCTATCGGCAGCAAAGTAGGAGCCTGGAGAGCTCCTGGAGGCTCGGAGCTCTCAGGAGCGGAAAATGGGGCGGGGGTAGGAGGTGGGGGGGGGGGGAGTCGGGCAGCGCAGCCCACACCGCGGGGGAGGACAGACAGCCCCTGTGATGTGGGCAGCTGTGAGGATCCAGAGTCAGTCCCACAGGATCACAGTCCCCCGGCTGGGGCGCACAAGGCCACACTGCGAGCTCCCTCGGGCGACCTGTGTGCACGCCAATATTTCAGGAGCACTGCGCGGGGGTCCCTGGGTCTCCTTCACTCTTTCCCACATTTGCAAACACTTGCCACCGCCTCTCTCAAGATTTTTGCATAGAAAGAGGAAATAAGGATGTTCCAGAAAGATTGGAAAATTGAAAAATCACTTCCAACCCGAGAACCCAATGAAACGGAGATTTTTCACTTTGTACATCTATGCATCCCCTTGCATCCTTGTCCACGTACAAGATGTTGGGTTTTCCTAAATGCTGTTCATTCTGGAACTTCCCGGGATGCTCTGTCTCCTCACATAGCCCAAGCATGCGTCCAGGTTGCCGCTGCGGTCCTCATTGTTGTCATGTACGTGGCTTTACAACAGGACATCTAGTATATGCAATTATGCAGAGTCCGGCTATTAATTACTTGAATTGCATTCATCTCCCTATTACATATGGACAAAGGAAAAAAAAAAGAGACAGAGACGAGGGTCGCTGGGTGTTGCTCAGGAGAGCAGGGACTAAATATTCAAAGCACGTCCTCGCCTACCTGAGACGGCCTTGGGGACTCCCAAGCTCTGTTCGTGCTTGGTGCCGCTTCGAGCCTGGAGGAGATGGGCGTCCGGGATTGGAGCTCCTCAACCAGTTTCTGGCTGGCAGATGAAGCTGAGGGTGTGGCGAGAGACAATCCAGCGGAAGTGTGCAAGACCGGAAGCTGGCAGAGCAGCAAGGGAAAGCCATTGGAGGAGAGGTGGCCTTGCTCCAGGACAAGGAAAACGTGGCTTGAGAGAACCCTCCCCGGCAGAGAAGAGGAGGACAGATTGCCCAGAGGGCGGTGTCTGGTGGCCGGGTTTAAGGGGTACCTATGCTGTGCTGTGGTCCTGTTGTGTTGCCGCCAGGAAAAGCTGGTCACAGCCCCTCTCGTAGGGATGCTTGGGACAACGCAGATATCTCTGGGTGGTGGGGAATGCAGCTGGAACCCCAGAGAAAGGGAAGGGGGCAGGTATAGAGATTTGCAGACACAGAGAATCCAAGGGACAGCCACTACAAGACATGGGAGCCCCGGAAGGCTTAGGCTGATTTGAAGGAACCTACAGCTTGGCGTATCTGTTCCCATCACAACTGTTTGATGCTTGCCAGTGAGTTGCTGAAACCACATTGCTGAAACCGGTGTCTACCTGTTCCATAAAGCTGTCCCAGAATTCTAGAGGCTAACTCTTTCCAAAAGGGGGAGACAGAAAGAGGAAAGCATTGCAGGGCTTGGGGTGTCCGCTAGTGTGGGTTCATGCCCCTCGGTCTCACTGCCGAGGACTGGCCCTGCCATGCTCCGAGGATGATCACCCACAATGCCCTCTGTGGTCCACAGTGAGCTCCCGGAGTCCAGCCACAGTCCTGAGGGACAGACAGCCCATCGCCAATGCGTAGGTCCTTGATGGTCATCAGCAAAGGTTCCCTCTGTCCTGGGAGGAATGGCTCTGGGTCCTGGCACACTCAAAGCACTGATTGAAGAGAATTCAATGGGAGAATGCTTGCAGGGGTTGAGCAAAGAGAAACAACAGAGAATAGAAAACATGACGCCATGAGCATGTCAGCGGAAGAAACAAGGAGAACAGACTGCCCCCAGAGCAGCGAAGGCTGTCGCAACAGAGGAAGCGTCGGCCCACAGGAGCTGTGGCCACAGGTCCAGGATCAACTGCAGCCCCACAGGATGGGAGTTGGGGGAATAGACATCTTGACCTTTTGCCTCCTGCCCTCCAAACTCCTGTCTGGATTTCCCATTGGCCAAACACTACAGAAACAAGAGCACAGAGCCGCCCAGGGTGTCACAGCCCACACCGGCCAGTCTTCTAGAACAAATGAAAACCAGAGTCATCCTCCCCATGCCCACTCAGCACCCATTCATGATTCACGAACTTGGCTTGGACGGGGGACGTGTGCTTGTCTCGACACAGGGAAGACACAAAGTCCCATCAGGTACCCTATTGTCCAGGGGTGGGTGCCAACTTAGTCCCACTCCTATGGAACTGAAATTTCTGTAGGGTAGCCTCCATGGCCCAGGTGGACCGATCTCTGTGGAGCAGGGCGGCTGAGTGTGCCCTGCTCTCGCTGGTCCTGTGGTGTTGGGTGGTGACCTCAGCTTTGTGTTCCTGCCGCCCACTCCCATCCTCTCTGTATTCAGGCAGTCCCTCGGCTCTTGCGGTATTTAATCTGGTGGAATGACCCAACTCTCCACCCAAATTCTTGGAGCCCTGTCTTTACTGAGTTGCCACGGATTCCACAAAGTCCCACAGTTCATGAAGAGAGAGCTTGAAGGTCTCAGCTGGAAGCACTTTGAACAGGTGGACTGGGGCGGTGCTCCTCAAGCCACTGTCCCAGGGCGGATCTCATGAGCCTCTCCGGGAAGGTTCTTGGAAATTCAATTCATGTTGAACATAGGGTATGGAGAGAACCGTGGAGCAGCCAGCCCATTTCCCTTGGGGTTCTAGGATAAATCACCCTGTCAGGAGCCCCACCTGGCACAGGACCGTCTGAGCCTCCAACTTATCAGACCCATAACTATATTTCTTCTGGGAGCATTTGTTCTTGGGCACTAAGGGTTTCCAAACCCCTCAACCCTATAAGAATAGAAAACAAGATTCCATGTGTGGATGTGTGAGTTGACTTTTCCCAGGACAGAAGGTCTATTTCAGCTCATGGTTTTGAAGGTTCACAGTCCAAGATCTGGCGGCCGCGTTGGATTAGGCATCTGTTAAGGCCAGAGGACAGCAGAGGGATGGTGAGCCAGGAAGCAGACACAGGAAGCCTGCTGGGCTTATGTCGCCAACTTGCTCCCTCCCTAGGGCAAGCTCCCAGGGACCTAAAGACATCCCACCAGATCCACCTCCCAAATGTCATAATTAGGTCAAGTCTTCACCCTCAAACCACCAACATTAATCCAGTGACCATTAGCATAAGACTTGGGGGTTACACCCCTGCTGGGTTCTATTCAAGCCACGATAGTGGAGTATAAAGGTGCAATAGAGGAGTCAGTCTCACCTCCATTCTTGGGTCCTGGACTTGCATCTAGAGGGAACACGGCCTCTTATGTAAGCCAAGTGCTGCCTCTTGTGGGTCAGCCGCCGTAATCGAGTCCACCTGAGATGCTTCAAGCTTTGGGT